CAACTGCTTTTAGCGAGCGGAAATGACGGAATTTTTTCGGGGTTGTAGTAAGGTTGCCAGGAAAACAGCTATTTTAGCAATTTTTGAAATGCTTCTGATTGACTTTTAATGTTACTGATTGCGACCTATTAGTTCAGGCTTCTGAAGTCTGGAAAACTGGAAATATTAACCGGTGGCTGGGTGATGACGGATGAAGCTAATTCGCACTACTTCGGGATCATAAGCCAGTTGATTGAGGGCCACGAATGGCTGAGTAATCATATCGGAGAAGGTGAGTGGCCTTTTTTCCGGGGATGGGTGTAACTGTTTGATACTGTTATCCACAGCTGCCGAAATGCATATGGTGGATATGCTAGGCATTGATAAGAGCGTGTTTGAGCAATTTTTTTTTTTGCTTTCTTTTTGATGCTGGTGCTTCTTTTTATGCGTTTTGTGTTGTGTAACAGCAGTACAAAACGCATATTGTCACGGGGTTGTCTGTGTGTGCGCCCCCAGCAACTTGTCCGCATCTTTCGACTCGGGAACCACAAAAGCTAGGAAATTAAAAATTTAGGGTAACGTCCCTCACCCACGCGCGATCCCGCAAATTTAAATTCAGCCTCCCTGTACCTGCGGATAACACGTACGGCCCCGTAAAAGTTTGGGCGAGTAAAATTATTATCACGGGAACCACGGAAGCTAGAAGGCTGAAATTTTATGGGCATGTCCCCTGCCTACACACAACCAGGAAATTTAAATTCAGCCTTCTCCTGCCGCGGGTGACACGAACGGCCCTGTGAAAATTTTCACCTGTAAATTATTATCTCCGGAACCACTGAATATGCGAAGCTGAAGTTTTAGTGTAATAACCCCCTGCCCACGCTCGACCTTGCTTATTCAAATTCAGCGTTCCCGTGCTTTCCGGTATCACCTAAGGCTGCGTGAAAGTTTGGCGAATAAATTATTATCTTCGGAACCACGGAGTCTAGGAAGCTGAGATTTTATGGGTATTTTCCTTGCCCACGCGTAACCTAGAAAATTTAAATTCATTCTTCCGGTCCCGCAGGCAACATATACGGCTCAGCGAAACTTTTGGCGGGTAAATTATTATCTCGGGGACCACGGAATCCAGGAAACTAAAATTTTGGAGTAATGATCCCCTAGCGGCGTACGACCTCGCAAATTCAAATTCAGCGTTCTTACGCTCTTAAGTCTCACCTACGGCCCCGTGAAAATTTTGACGGGGAGATTATATCTCGGGAACCATAAAAGCCAGAAGCTAAATTTTATGGTGATGTCTTCTGTCCACATACAACCCTGCAATTTTAAATTCAGCTTCCCACGCGTCGGAATATCACTTATGGTCCCGTGAAAGTTTCGGTGGGGTAGTGAAAATCATTAGCGGGCAGTTTTTCAGTAAATGGAACTGCACAAAACGCATGATCGCACCGGCTGCCTTGGTGAGCGCCGCTATTTATTTACTATTAATTCGTTCCTTCTTTGTATCGAAAGCGTTAATTTTCATGTCTTTGCATAAGTCAGAAGCTACAAGTTAAGACTACCCTCCACAAGGAGCAAAGGCAATCGAAAGTAACTCAGTTGGATGCTGGTGTCAGTAGCAGCCATCGGCTTGCGAAACGGCCGATGGCTTCGTCCTTTGCGAGTTACTTAGAAGCAAGCTGACAGCGACAGTCATATAGTCAAAATATGCATTTGGGCTGAACCATGTGTTTGTGATTGTGTGTATGTATGTATATGTATGTGTGTGTGTCGGGGTAGCTGAAAATGTAAATTACGCAAGCTAACCTGCTAGAATTCTGAAAAAATAATGCGCTACCAATGGGGAAGCCGTAAACAAGAGTTTGTCTTCCGCACATCCTCTGTCGTGATGTTAGGTGTAAATTCAGGATTATGAGTGAAAAACCAAATAAGTATGAGGCTGAAATTTTGGAAGGTTGATTGACTACAGAATGCGTAAAATTTGTTTTAGCTTCAAATTCACATTGTGATATAAATTCCAGTTGCAGCACTAACCGCTTTAACAGCTCTCGAACTAGATAATGCATAGTTTTAAGTTCTTGTAGTTTTAACTGGTGCCAGGAAATCCACGCATTTTAACCTGAGTTCACGTCTAAAGGCAGACCGACGTAATAATTTTAGAACAGGCCATGACAAAAACTCAAAAATTCGCCGAAGACTCTCTAGGCCAAAATATCATAGTCCAGCGCAGTCATCTTCCTAATGCATTCATACACTCCACATCCAAATCAGCTGCAATGCTCGGTCGCAGTGGAATTCAAAGTGATTTCTGTCAGAGTGCCCACTTTTTCTGATTCAGCCTTATGTCTTAGATTATAAGCCGCGGAATCACTGGTCAATTGATCCGTTTGGACTCAGTCCAACCGTTTCGTATTTTATGAAAAAATCGAATTTTTCGAACGGTGTGCTGCAAAGGGTACATTATTCCGTTAAAAAACATTTGGCTGGGACGAAACAGTTGGAATTTATTTGGAGGCAGTTGTGGAGTAAGTTTTTCATTGCACTTTGATTGGATTATGCTTTTTTTTACCGACTCGCCCCCAATGACCCGGGAAGTGTTATGGGTGGCTGTCCGCAGCACGAGCAACATGCACTGTTTATTGCATTTTGCTTCGCGTGTTCACAATGATTTTTACTACGTAGTTTACCTCACGCGTCTTGTCTAATTGTTTACTATGGTCACACAATTCAAGCATCCTTCGTTTCACTGCTTCCTCCGTCGCTGCCAACATTTGCCCTTCCGCCTTCGTCGATGACCGCGTCTCTCATCTGTGTGTCACTGCCTTCTATAATTGGTTTTGAAGAGAGGGTAAAGACTTCCTAATCCGGCAATTTACGGATAAAAACGAACTTTGAAAATTGTGCTAGCCAAGAATAAAAAACAGATAAGCACAAATCATACGTGCAAACTTAAATATAGCTTGTTTTGGTTGCTTAACTCGAGGCGGTTTGAACTTCACCTGTTGCAGGGTACTGCTGATAGAAGTTTACTTTCACGATAGTCTACGTTTTAAGATAGGAAGAGTTGAAAGCACGTGATGCAAAGTAGGTGAGATAAAGGCAAATGGCCTAGGAGAGAGGAGGGTAATAACAAGTAACCCAGGTGTTAAGGCGGAATCGGATGATTCAGGTGGACAAGGATAGAAAAGCTTATTGTAGAAGAGTTTGTTGTGGCATTACATTTAGCCTCTAAAACTTTATAGGAGGAGGAGTAAGGCAATCTGAGCAGTTCATATTTTAGGCATCAGTAGCACAGTGACCGATTTTACG